TGAAGCAGGGATACATCTAAAATCTGTAGGACAGCAGATCTTGAGGCCCAGGGTTGGAGACCACTGGTTTAAAGTGACAGGGAACTCCATGAAAGTCTGGAGGGAGTACACACTGGAGGTGAGGTTGAAGGAGCATCGAGGAGGAGTCGGATGAGCTTACTACAATGGTGGAGAAGGGGATGGAGGTGGGTTGTCTGAATCAAAGTCCGACATAGGAGCGACGGATCTTGCGCTTGTTGGAGAGCAGGCCTAGAGATGATTTGGAGTGGCTTTTAAGTAGAGTGCTGGAAGATGATTGGGCATCGAGGAAAGTGGCTTGAAGCGGGTTGGCTGCATTGGAGGCGGATCAGCCTGAGATTGAATGGAAGTAATCAGAGTTTCTTCAGTTGAATTTCAGCCATAGCTTCATATCTTAAGTAAGTTATTAAGTAAATACTATTTCATCATTCTAATTGTTTAAACTAATGTACACATCCTAAAAATCCTAGTTGACTGTATTAGCCCAACTTTACTAAGTGCAACTGGTTTCCATGCTTTTTTAAAGTAATGATAACTAATTGGATCTTACAATGTATAGCACTTCCATACAAAAATAAAACAACAAAAGCGCTACACTGAGGTGAATATAAAAAATAGAAAATATTAATCACCAACTATGGAAGCCTAAGAGGCATCAGACTTATTCAGTGGGCCCCCAGTGTTTCTTTATACTGAAAAATATTGCAGGAAAGTATATTGTACAATATATTTTAACTAAACAAATCTTTAGTCTAGAGATCAAATGTCCCGACGTAAAAAGAGTAAAATGTACTCAAAATATCCGTTTCGATCCTAGAGTGAGCAGAAACAACTGTAGAAAAATTGCTCAGCCATTTTTCCTGTGTGATCTGAGCATATCCCATTATGAGGGGAACACACGACTCCCATCGTGCAGCCCCTGCTCTCTACTGGTCGAGAATGATGTCTCAGCAATCGATTCCCACAGTCCGAAAGCTAAGCTGCAGAGAAGGAAGAAATGTGTTTTAGCTCATTTTAGTGCTGATGTATTTACCATGCCATCAACAGCTTGTTTTTAATGTCTTCCCTTGATGATGAGTGCCTGTATTGATGAGCCCTCCTGGGCTGCACTTGTTAATCTGATCTGTAACATAATCGAGGGGTGTTTACATAAAAGGGAACCAAGTATGGACATATTGATGCAACTGAAGATGCAGACATTGGCTGTGAAGCACCACCCCGGCAGTGATTATATTCAACTAGTCTTCATCAGCACTGGAACATCCATAATCAATGCTCCACACCATGCCAGTGATTACCTCACTCAGAAGGAAGCACTAGTCTCTCTCTTCTCGTCTTGATTGGAATCCTTGTAGGCTTGTTTATCTAGGGTAAGAGGCTCTGCACATGACCTGCTGGAGCCACTCAAAACTGGAGAGAGATTACAGAGGCCATGCTTGAAATAATGGTCCTATTTCTTCTCCTCTCTTCTGGGAGTCCCTCGAGTGTTTTGAGACTAAGTATGTAATGTCTGCTTCCTTCTTCAACTTCAAACCTTATAGATCGATGACATTTTAACCTTCCCAATATACAGTCAGAACAGAGAAGACATTTTTCCCTTTCAATGAGAGAAGAAAAATGATTTATTCATGTAGGTCAAAATTCAATACTATCGTAGTTAAACTGCAAAGGTATTCATGCTCCTCAAACTTTTTTCTAATGTAGATGGCATTTTTTACATACAAAATAAACAGTGATCTGTCATAATCTTGGCGCTGACGACTGGCCTGATTATTTATTTCATTCACCTGCCTAGCTTTGCCCAGTTCTCATCACAGTTCATCTGATCCACCTGCCTCAGCCTCTATTTAACCTACTTGCCCCCAGTCATCAGTACCAGATTGTTCAAGCTTTTAGTTAAAGTTCTCTAATGTACCTCAGTGTTTCTGATTCCCTGATCCTGATCCGTCCTGCCTTTGGACCTCTGAGCCTGCCTGTCCCCGTTCTAATCTGTTTGCCTGACCTGTCCTTGGACTCCTGTTGGATTCTGCCTGTTTACCAAACCTGGAACTGATTTCTGACATTGTCCTGGATTTACCTTCGGTACCTCTTCGGATGTTTGATCTCCTGGCTCTGATTCCTGAGCACATCGTCTACACCAAATTTGGCTTCACCCTCTGGATTATTATGCGTTCCTTCGTCTGCTCGGTTCTGATCTCCTGCCTGTCCCCCAAACTCCAGGGCTTCAGCATCTGGGACAGTGTCTGGTTGGCAGCCAACCATCTAGAACCGACCTCGTCCTCTGGGCACAGATTGAACTTTAAGACCAGGTTAGTGACTCACATTATCATCCTCCACCAGATAGACGTGGTCACTAACCTTTGTTCTCCCTCTGCAGAGGTTTCTGCCTCAGAAGCTGATGCTTTTCTCCTTGTAGTTCCATCTCTAATAAACATTTTGTTAAACCTAACTTACTCTACGTCTCGAACACCGGGTTATACCTGACATGATCTGCAGTTGTATTCATCCTTGGTTTGGTTTGGTACCTCTCAGTCAGATCTTTGGCAACCAATTGCCTTCAGTATTCCTACTTGGTGAACATGTATTATAAAAAAACATCAAGGTAATGATGATGGTTAAAGGAAGAAGTTGGCAATGTTAATACTGGGGAGGAAATTAGAGAAAAAGAAAAAACATAATACTTAACCACAAATCAAACGCTTAAAATCTCATGGAGATTTTTTGACAATTAAATGTCCTGATCTGTGTTACAAGTGAAAATAACACTTACATGTAGAAACCTATTCTAAACTTGAAGGGCAGTATGTGTTGTACAAAAAAACAACTTAGTGAATGTGCTCTGCCTGAAAGAGATGGCCTTGGCTGTGTTTCTTAGAAATAAAAAAGGATACATGAGGACAATGAAAACACATCTGAATAGTTCTGATGAAAATATCAAAATTTTAACATGTTGTAAATATGCTTGATTACTCCCCAAAATGTACATGTTATGAATGAATATTTTACTGATGTAGCCATTGCTGTTTCCAAGCCTCTTTATCTTGATTATTAGAAGTATAACAAAAAACAATTCAGTCATGCTGCTGACGTTTTTGGATGATTTTGTCAGATGAAGAAGGGACTAGTGAATCATCTGCTGTGTGACCAGGACTGAATATTGCATCATGTTTGTGAGTCTCTGAAAAGACCACTTCTCTTCTAGAGTGCTCGGAAGAGATTAAATACACCAGCACTTTTTGAAAGTTTTTCCAACGCTAACAGCTAAGTGGTATTTGTGCCAGTCTCTTTAAAAAAAAAAAAATACAGCTTAAAAGTATTGTTTATTCTAAAGGTTATGTTTGGGGGGGAAAAAGTATGAAAAAAAAAACTTTATGAAACTTTTCAGCCCAAGTTATCTTCAATGTATAAAATAGTAACACAATATAAAATTGGAAAATAATAAAAAAAGAATTGACAAGCTACTGTATTCATGTTTACATCACATGGTCTCATCAGTCAATTGAAAAAGAGGAAATAGTGGACAACTAGAATTAATGAGAACTTCAGAGCCTTCCTCAGGGACCTCACTGCAAAAACGATCTTGAAATAAGTAAAAATGTCTTAAATTAATTCACCCTTAATTTGAGTAGGTAAATTAGATAGTTTGCCAATGGAATTAGTAATTTTACTCTTAAAATAAGATAATTAGATAATATGCACTTAAAATAAGACAATGCAATTGTGTTTTCTTATTTTAAGTGTAAATTGTCTTGTTCCATTGGCAAAATGTCTCTTTTACCACGTCAATTCAAGAACAAATGCACTTATTTTAAGAAAAAATTACTTATCTAGATTTAGATTTTTTGCAGTGCTTTTGAGGTCCCACTTTACAAACATGCAAGTCATGTTCATACTTAAGAAAACATTCTTACCTTGAAAATAATATTAAAGGAATCAACAAATAATAGCTCTTTTTTAGTTGATGTAAATGTTTATCTTCTGGTAAACAGCTGAAGCCCATTTGGTCATCATGTTCACATTCAACATCAGAAATGTTTTTAACTAAATGTAAAATAACAATACTTGTCCTTGTAAAAAGGCTTCACATTGTGGAAATAGTGATATTCACAACATTATTTTTTCCTCTCTTCACTTTTCCCTTTAGCTGTTTGAAAACTCCACCTAAAACAGTATCAGCTCTCGAAAAAATATCATTAAATTTATTTGTAGAACAAGATCAGTAAGCATCCTGTGTGGTTAATTTCAGTCTGTTTCATTATCTTAGGTAAGGAAAGCTTTGCATCTTTATAGAAATCAAATGCAAAATTAAATTACTTATCATCAAAAATAAAACATATAACCTCGGTTATATGTTTGGTCCGGGATATTGCATTCACACTCTCATTAATCCACTAAAGGCCTTTTTTCTTTGAGGAAGCGTTCATTAAAGGTCAGTCGAACCTTCTAATAAAAGTTACACTTACTCGCCACATAGGGGCGCCAATGAGCTCCTAAGCGCTGGAGTAAACTATTTCAAATTAGGTTGGACATTGTCAAATATATTGTAGAAATGGGAAGGTACCTTTTTATGACCTTGTTTTCAAACGTATCCAAAATATTTTTAGCTTTTTTAATATACCAATAAATATACCAGAGTGAAACAACTCTGAAAAATATTACAATCCTGTGATGACTTGATTAATTCGAGAAATGCTGTTCTTTTTTTCACATTGGCAGGTATAGTATAGTATAAATATTTTTCATTATATTAAAAACACTTTGTGATCCTAAAGATGTATCAGAACAATCTTTAATAATTCCAGAAATGCGTCTTTATTCTATCAAAATGAATGATTTTGATCTAATTCTCTCTCTCTCTCATACAGTCCAGCACATACACACAAGCATTCAAGCACTTTGTGACATTAAATCCATTCTCATCTGCTCCCCTCCTCCCCCTTATCTCTCTCTCTCTCTCACTTTCCCTGCAGGTCTTTTCAGCATATAACGTCGCGCTCTTTCCCCTCAGCGCACACAGACCCTAGACTTAGGAATGCCTCAAAACAGGGTGCGTCTTTAGGAGGAAATCAGGAAAAAAAATAAATCACAGTTTTTATTCATATTTCTCCTTTTTTTAAATCATTATTTTATTCAGACCTTGGGTAAGTGCGTTGGAGCATGGCACAGAAGTTTCCTTATTTTACCTATCCGGACATGTTCCAGAATACAGGGAGAAGGTGAATGAACAGCTTTTTATTGGACGGCTTTAAAATACCACAGTTTATATTAAAAGTTAAAAGTTAGAGGCATGGATCTCGATTTTACGAATGAGACATACATGGACTCAGAGTGCGTCCGAGCGCTTCAGGACCTGATGCAGAGCGGCGCGCTCAATGGAAGCTTGGAAGCGTCTAACATCTCTTGTGGCAACACTTCTACACTGCTTATACCTGAACGTGTCGGCCAAGGTAAGAATGTAATGAAACAAAATCCGTTTTTTTTTTTTTAAAAAAAGACTAATTTATTTTCATATTTATGATTATGTACTTCTTTTTATTGGGTGACAATGAGTTGTTATGACCTAAATATTTATTCAAATTTGTAAAAACAAATTCATGTTTTTTTCATGTTTAACCAATATTTCAATTGAACTTTAAGAAACTTAGACTTTTTAAAATCAATAGCTTCAGAATTTAAATCTGGGAGCACAAGTATGGTTATTGAATCTTTTTCTGTTTACCTGGTGTTCTAAATATGGGTAGTGTTTTTGTAGAAACGTTTCAACCTTTCATTGAAATATGGTGTTTAATAGAAACAGAAGATAAAAAAAGAAATGCAAAATGTTATACAACTCATACAACTTCTATGAAACAAAGAAATATAATACATCTTCTAGTCATTGCTAGTATTGGCCACTGGAAGAATTCATTGAGTATAATGGGTTTTGCTTTTTGGTCATGATTCTCCAATTCTTATCTTTTTAGATTTTTAATAGACTCCTTATTTTACTCATGCAATTTCTTCTTATTTCTCTCTTTTTTTTATTTTATTTATTTTATTTTTTTTTACCAGCAGGGGTGTACCTGATTCCAAGTTTTAGCCACTTCTGATTTCACATGCACATTAAACAGCTAAATTTGGAGTACCATATGGGTCCATCGTAATGAGAGATGGTTATTCAGAAACTCCATGGATTAAGTCATGCAGGAGCAGAGGGTAATTACTAGGTCATGGCTCATTATGGAGCATAAACCCATTCAATGCATGCAAAAAAAAAAGTAAAAATCTTCAATTTACAATGAATATTCTTCAGTGGTGTTGAAAATTTTAATGACTAATAATTCACATTTCACCTTGGTCCATAAAAAATTTACTTCAGCAATTCGTTTTATTAATAATTTCTGGTTGAAATGCTGTTTTATATTTTATAAAAAGAAAAACGGTTGTTTTTCCATTAAGCTTTTTAAGATTTTGTTTTATTTTATACAATTGAATAAATGATAAACATTTGGGTTTATGTTTTTGTAACATCTTATATTTAAAACATTTGCATAACATATTAAGTCAAATCAATATCAACCCATCCAGTATTTCCTGGTTCTTTTTCTTTAAATGCCTGAATCTATATAGAGCTCTTTTCTCCACGGCTGTCTTAAAAGATTGAATTTATTCTCATATTGATTCCTTAGGACCAATTCATTAACAAGAGATACATACTGTAGCAAAATGCATTTTTCATTGTCCTCACAGTGGCTATTAACTTACATTGCTTTATTAATTTGTTGTTAAATATTTATATGATACCAATATCATTGTGTTAAACAACTGCAAGGTCATTATGTGTCCATTTATCATCTCCCGCTTATCCATCAAGGTGGAACTGGTGCCTTTCCTGGACAGATCGCTGTTCCATCACCGGGCCTAGTCATGCAATTCACAAAAAATATTTTTGATACTAGAAATGCATTTTAATACTTTAGACCGTGTTGGATTGGGTTCAAAAGAATTTATTCTTAATCTTGAGTACAGATTCTTGAAATAAGAATAAATACCCAGCCCTGCTTCCAAATACAACCTCTGTTAGCCTGAACTTTATTCACTGTTGTTGTAACCACATGTACATTTCTGGCTAGTTTTCCTGCTGAGGATGCTCTATCAAAGGATGAAATACTAAGATGAGGTTACAATGACCCAGGAGGATTGTGCAAAAAAGTATAGTGAAGGGCACTGGTTTCTAGAATAAAACACATTTAAAAAGGGAGATAAGACTCCAGTGTTAATAATAATATCATGTGCACTCTTAAATGCTCAAATAGACAGCTGATATTCCAGAAGCTGTACGTGGAGACTTTATGGAAAATCCTAACAATTATGCCATAAACATTTCCCCTCACCCATGCTACATCTATCTTTAAATATCATTAGGAGTGTAGACATATGGAAATACAGATTAACAACTTGTAAAAAAGAAAATAAATGTGACAGTAACAAATAATGAACTCAGATTATTTGAAAACATACCCTATCAAAACCATCTCCTATTACATGAATCTGATAACCAAGTAGATATATAAAAATTATTTTTGTACAAAAAGGTGTATATTTTTAATCTTCTCACATTCTTTTCTTCATTTTTTTGTACAAAATAAAAAAATGAAGATTATTGGTTTGATTACAGCTTTCCCTAGTCACATGCCCATGTGCTCCATGGCAAGGTAGCTAAACCCAAGCTGCCTACCGATCTGCATACACCTGTTTACTGTATGAATGTTTGCATGTTAGTGAGTGTGATGAATGTGGCTACAGTAGAAAGCACTTTGAAAGGTGGCTGTGATTAAAAAGAGTGCTATACTTAATCCCATTTGATAGTTAGACAGACAGACAGACAGACAGAGCGAATTGGAGAAATCCTGCAAATTTCACACAGAATGTTGATTACTTGTGTGACTTGCAGTTTTCACTTGAGCTCTAAGGGTCAGATGTGTGTGGAAGAATTATTTGGACGAACTCTAGTATTTGATCCTCCTGCAAACTATAAATTTAGATTCAGTGTTTTAAATACAATAAAGGATGTTGTGCACCCTCCACAGCATGTTACTACAGTATGTGCTTCAGATTCTGCTTAATCAATGTGTGTCTAAGACAAACACTGGAGGACCATCCAGTATCTCTGCTCACCCTGCATCCACAAACCATGTGCCTTAAAAACCACACATTTTTCCTTTGTTCTTAAAACTACCCTTTATAGAGTCACACATGACTCTCTTCCTCCACCCCTCACACCTACCCATGTCACTTAGCCTGTTGAGGGCTGATGTGTTAACCACACATTTCTTTCAAATACAAAAAGTACCAACATGTTGTTTTGTTCACTGACCGATGTGACCACAATCTCTGCAGACTATGTGCGGCAGTCTGTCAGTCAATGGAAAGTGGTTTTGTTCTTTGCATCAATCAACTGTTCTGGGCTGCTGATGGTTGAGTGGCAAGGCGTAGATGGCATTTACCATGCTGGATTAGCTCCCCACTGTGACATTTACCAACACCTTGGATATACAGGAGCACTGCCAGGTTTTCTCTGATAGATGCTATAGGACACAAAGGTGGCTGGTTTAGAAAAATAAGTAAATTCTGGATATTCTTAAGTAGATGGAAGTCTTGTATTGCACATCAAAAAAGGGAAAGAGATTATACCAACATAACAACTGTCTTTTTCATGGTGGCTCACTTCTTACTCGAATCATTAATAAATCTGTCCCAACTTAGCATTTCTGCCTTGCCTCTATTGTGCATGACGAGGCATGACATAAAATGAATAATGTTCCAGTTTGTCTTTTAATCCATCTGACCACGTAGAAAAGACGTGAGGGTAAAAGTTTAGAAGTCATATGGAATTTGTTGAAGTGAAATACGCAGAATTACCTTAAGACTCAGTTATCAGAATACAGATAAATGAGTTTGTCTAACATCAATGGCATTTGTTTAATCTTCTCCATGAAAATACAATGATCCTTTTTGTGATTTGATTTATAATACTGTAAAAACTTTAATATCTAAAGGGTAGAGGTAAACAATGTGGTGACTAAACATATGCAGCACCCCTCGGCTCTTTATGTTCTTCTCTGTATTTGCATCCTTACCCATTTGAGCATTCATGCAGTACAGTAGAGCTGGAGTGATAGAGCTATAGAGAGAACCTGGTCTCAATGGACCCCCAAAACTATATTTCATTCCCCTTAAACTGCAAATGTTCTGAAGATCCCCTTTCTTTGGCTATGAAGAGACTGAAGAGAGAATATAAACAGCAGAGGAATATGTACAGTGGGTTGCACACCAGGCTAAAGGCTTATTCATACAAAGGCCTGCTCGGTCTCTTCCTGTATGAGGTCATTGACCAAAAAAGTCTACGAGATTCAACCAAGGCTTGCCTCACATAAGATGGACATTTACGGGGCGAGCTACGTAAAGACACTTATTTGGAAAAACAAACATTCCAGATCCTGCAGAGGAGCTGGTGGGCCACAATTTGTTCTGGAATGTCTGTACTAAAGCTGCATAGAAGATTAAAGGTGGAGGTTTGTCACTGTACAGTCACAGATCTACAAAAACTGTCTGAACCTCTTGCCTCCCTGTTTCAAGTGTATGGCTATTAAGTTTAGGCTATTTAAACTGTGTTGTAAATGGCCTGTACTTATATAGGGCTTTTTCAAGTCAGGAGACTTGACCAAAGCACTTTACACTACATTCAGTCATTCACCCATTCACGCACACACACACGAATGGTGGCAAGCTACATTGTAGCAACAGCTGCCCTGGGGCTCACTGACAGAAGCGGGGCTGCCGTACACTGGTGCCACTGGGCCCTCTGACCACCATCAGTAGACAATGCAGCTGAAGTGTCTTGCCCAAGGACACAACGACACTGAAAGACGGAGCCAGGGCTTGAACCGTCAATCCTTCGATTTCAGGGCAAACTCTTACATCCGACGCCACTGTTGCCATAAACAGACCATGATAAGCTATAATAATAGCTCCCAGCATGTACTACCACTGCCATAAGGATGCCTTGCAGCTCTGACATTAGCCCAGAGCTTTAAAAGGGGAGGGGGGCTCTATACTCTTCTTACTTAGCTTGCCCACTGCTTTGAAGATAACTATAGAAGAAGCTCACGGTGTTTGGAAACAGGTGCAAAGAACCCTAGTGTGCTGCATCCTTGCTAGCTGAAGCTGCATGGTTTTCACTTACTCATTATTCCTTCAAAGAAGAAGCTGTTTTAGGCTTGGACAGACTGTCTGGAGAGTTAAGAAATTGCTCCTGATCAAAGACGCTTTGCTTAATCCTAAGCGAGTAGAGGTGATCCATGAGGCTTATTGGAGAAGTAATATTCCTCTGCTTCCCTGAGCTGAATTAACTGCAGAACCTGGTTGTTAAAAGGGAAAAAATGACTGGTAACCAATGACCATTTTC